AGTGAGTTACTGAGTGTTTAGGTTCTGTGTTTAATCTGCTCTGCAATTCGTGTCATTCATTTACTCAGATACTTATCTGAACAGCTCGTTATTGAGCTTTACGGTCGTCCATCCTGCTGACCCTCTTTAAGTCTTTTAAAGATCAGAGCATAAACTTCATCTCCTCTGCAGACCAGTTTCTGCTCCGCCATGTTGACCAGTATAAACTCTCACTATGACGCGACGAACATGATCAGAACGGACTTAAACTTTCCGATAGGGAATGTAATCAGATACAGGCGTTTACATGGATATTATTCTTCTATTTAACGGATTATTTACAGGATTACCCACCTCGATCAGTCGGATAGAGACTGTATTCTGACTAGACTATTCCTACTGAGGTGTTTACATGGACGTGCTCCTTTCCGATTGAACTGTTAATTATTAATTGTAACTGATTATTAATTGTTTCAGGCAGCAGGTAAACGTGATTAATGTGGTTATAACTGACATGCCAGGTTGTTATTACTTCATAACTTTATTGCAATAAACAGAAACAATTCCGAAAGCTACTGTTGATTTGTGCTGTCGATATGTGCTGCAGCTGGATATGGAGTATGTTGGCACAGCAGCACTGTTTCATCACATCCTCGTTAGTGTTGCTCTGCCAAATTACTCCATATCCAGCTGCAGCCCCGTAGTCCACACGTAGGGACGACAGCGGACATCGGCAGGGACTATTTGAGGATCCACAACAGTCAGAATTTGAATTTTATCATACAGTTATGACACAGCATGTGTCTCCCCCTGCTGTCTGCAGCTGGTACTTTGGTAAGATGGGCCGGAAAGATGCTGAGAGGCAGCTGCTGTCCCCAGGTAACGTGCGGGGCGCCTACCTGATCCGGGAGAGTGAAACCACAAAAGGTGAGTTTACCTGTTGGACACGCAGTGTCCTGCTTCTGTAACTGTGATTAATGCACCCTACATACCTACCATTACACCTCCATACGCCCCAACAAGCTCTGTATATACCCTTCTATACCCCCTAAAACCTCCATTTACCTCCATATACCCCACACACCCCAATATACCTCCATACACCCCAAAAAAAGGCCCATAGAATTCCACATCCCCCCCAAAGTTTATATACCTTCATATTCACCAAAAACATAGTATATACAGTAAATAACTCCATACAACTCAAAACGCTCTCTATATAACTCTGTATACCCCAGAAAGCCTTATATATTGCATATAACTCCATATACCCCAAATTCAGTATATAACTCCATATGCCTCGTAAATATACTAATATACAGTATATTCCTCCCCTTTTGGGGTATATATTATACCCCAAAAAGCTTTGTATATAAATGTGTACCCCATATATATATATATATATATATATATATATATATATATATACCCTTAGAAAGACATATATATCTCCATACACTCCAGAAAGCCCCATATACCTCCCTGTACCCAAAAAAACCTATATACCTTTAAACCCTATATAACCCTATACTTCCATATACCCCAAAAAGTCATATATACCTCTATATACACCAAAAGACCTAATCCTTACATACCTCCCTAAAAATCATTACATACCTCCCTACACCCCAGAAAGCCCCATATACCTTGACATAACCAAACCCTATATACCTTATTATACCCTAACAAGAGTGATATACCTGCACATACCCCAAAAACCCTTATGTTTGCCTCCATATACCCCAAAAGCCACATATGTACCTTATAAAAACTTGACATTTACCCACATGAACTGCGATACAGCCTCGAGTCCTCAGCCTCCCCAGCACTGAACTCTCCTCCAGGCTGATCCCAGTGTTATGAGTTAATGAATCAGGCCTGCATGGCTGCTGTTAGTGGTTGTGAGTAATGTGTATTGCTGTGCAGGTGCCTTCTCACTGTCTCTCCGGGACTGGGACGAGGTTAAGGGTGACCACGTGAAGCACTATAAGATCCGTAAGCTGGACAGTGGTGGATATTACATCACCACCCGCGCCCAGTTCGAAACGCTGCAGCAGCTGGTCCAGCATTACTCAGGTACGGCGCTGAGTGGCCTGTGGTTCCTGTATAAAGTGACATGTTGTTTACATTTGCATATCAGTAGCATTGTCGTCCGGGGTTTCTGTCCTTTCTGTCCAGCAGTCAGGGAGAGATTTTACACTGTATTTTGTTTAATCTGTTCTGTGCGCATTAAAGTAATGACTAGATAGCAATTACATTAGCAGTGTGAGCTTATCTAGCACCACATCAGAGTAATCTGAGCTCTGTGGAACAGTCGGAGACGTCAAGAGAGGAGAAAAATGATCATCTAACTGTAAATCATGATAACAGCAGACTGAGAAATAAGAATAAACACTAAGCAGCTGTTTAAACAGGTGTTAGCGTTAGCTGGCTAGTTAGCGCAGCTGCTTGTAGAAACATTAGCTTAGAGAAACTCATCTCTGCTTGTTGTGATTCAGGAAACTAAAATAAAAACCTACCAACCTCATATAAATTCAGTCAGAAACATCTTCTGTCCAGCTCTCCAATAAACTGTCTTCTCTTGTATATTCTTGTTTATTTATTCAGTGAAATCAATTGTTTGAAAATGTGTTGCTCAACTTGATCACGTGATGGATTATCTGCGTCTCGATTGGCTGTTGGAAGTTGAGACAGTTGCAAGTGGCTGAGTTTTAAGCGAGTTGTTGGACACTTTACATTACGCAGCTCAAATGCAATTTAGTTTCATGTAGATTTCAAGCAACTAAAGTTGCATTAGAGTTTCACCGTGTAGAGCCAGCCTGCAATGTGAATGAGATACACTGAATGATCTGGTGCTGCATGTACTATAATGAAGTGTAAGACTTTTTAACACTCAATAATGTTATGTAACATATTATATTATTATATTATTATGAAATATAATAAAAATGGAAAGATCCGATGCTGTATGTTTTATGAAGCGTCTAAGTAATATGTTGTACCAGTTATAATTATGGTGAACTATGGTTGAATTACAGTGTACACATAGATTGGGCTCATGCAGAGCTTGTGTTTGTGTTTTTATCTCTTTGTTATAAATCCATAAATCCAGTAAAACATGATCTTGGAGTGAACGTTTCTGCAGCAGGTGGATCTAGAAGAGCATTAAGGTGTTTCTTAGGTGTTTGCTGGCTGGAGAAAAGCTCTGTGATCTCATCAGCAGAGAAAGCGAATGTGTTGCAGTTGGGATCAGAGTGAGCGGCAGTAAAGATCACTGTGTTTACCGATCAATACACTGATCTGCCCACTGGAGCTCAATGAGGAGTGACTACGAGAGATAAGAGATCAGCAGCTGACGTTTATGATGTAGATAATGTGGAGATTTAGCACTGAGACAGAGATTTGCACTCAGTTAGTGAAAACAGTACTAATATTTTCAGATCTAATGCAATTTTAGACTCTGAGGTCAACTTTAGATTTGATTTCTGATATTTTCTGTGACAATATATTGTTAAAGTGGTAAAACAAAATATATTATGTATATCGTCAGTGCTTGTAGACACTGACCAACTGCATGTTTCATTATAAAGAGGGCAAAATTAGTCCCGTTTTACTGGATTTATTGACAAATATTAATAGTATTTTTTCTGTCTATTTTTACTCCAACTTATCAGAAGTATGAAAAGATAAATATCGTGAGGTCATGTATTGTGAAAGTATTGCAATGTTACATTTTTGCCATATCGCCCAGCTCTATAATCAAGTCTGTTAGAAGTTACTGAACAACTCTAAACAGTTTGAAGTGACTGTGATGATTTACTTATGCAGTTAGCTCTGTGCTAATTGGTGGGGTATAAGCTTCCATTACCTGTTAGCTACATTAGCCTCATAGCTTCAGTGCTAAAACTGAAGCAGCAAAGCTCAGACACCAAACACGTCTCCGCCGAGTTAGAGGGAGCAGAAAATGGGTAATTTTAATTTTGTACCGAACTATTCCTTTAAAAGCAGGAGGGGACGCTGGCGAGTGTGGGTAATCGCTCTGTTGCTGTGTTGAAGTGTCTCTAAGGTGAACGTCCTCTGTGTGTGTTCTGCCATATCGAGCTGCTTTATGGTGCTGCTAATGCTATTGACGGCTAACAGGGTGACTGGCTTTAATCACTGCTGGGACAGTCACTGCAGGCCATTAGTGCAGTAATACTCCGCTATCTGCTCTGTAGTGGCCTGAACAAACACCACGGGACACGTTACCACAAACAGCACACACACACAGGCGGACGTTAAATGTCAGGCAGACGTTAATGGAGACACCAGCAGAGCCAGAATGGGCTGATCGATGGAGAGCAAACAGGAGGCGTGGCGGAGGGGCTTTGTGTGTCAATGCGTGAGTGAGGTTTGTGGTTCAGTGACCTGAAGAAGTGTTACAGAGTGTATGTTTGTATAGCAGTGAGGGTGAAGATGTGTGATGAGGGCAGCAGTAGTGGACCAATACTGGACCAATATTAAATATGCACGAATATGGGGATATTTTTGCAGAAAGCTGGGTTCCCAGGTCATTCATCTAGGAATAAGGAAGTGTTTTCATTTCGCTATCTGCTGGTTAGGATGCGTTAAGCTGGAATGAGAAGTTTTGGGTTGGGTTTGAATTTATTTGGTTGGGTCATGTTTTGGGATGAGACGTTAGATTTGGTTCGCCTGGGATGTGTGATGGGGGCAGATGGGAATGTCTGACTGGGCTGAACTGGGATGTGTTGGGATAGGATGGGATGCCAGACTTGGCTGGACTGGGATGTGGTGGGTTAGGTTGCTATATTGGGTTGGGTTGGCATGGGCTGTATTGGGTTTGGTTGGCCTATGATGCATTGAGTTGGGATGTGTTTGGTTTAGTTGGAATGAGGAGGGCTGGGGTGTGTTAGGTCATGGTCAGTTGGGATGTCAGATTGGGCTGGGATGGGAAAGTTAAGATAGGATTTATTGGTTTGGGATGAGATGTGCTGGGTCAGGTTGGCACGTTAGGATGGACTGGATCAAGACGGGCTGTGTTGGGTTGGTCTGGGATGCACGGAGTTGATCTGTGATGGGTTGGGTTAGGTTGGTATGGGTTGTGCTTGGTTAGAATATGATGGAATGGGTTGGGATGGGCGGCGTTGGGTTGGATTGGTCAGGGTTGGGAATAGGTTGCATCCCATCTCATCTTAGGATGAGATGGGATGCATTGGGTTAGGATGAGATGCACTCGGTTTAGTGATGTGCTGAGATAGAATGGGATACATTGGGTTTGGAGGGGATATGTTGAGTTGGGATGAGTTGGGCTGGGATGTTTTTCATTGGGATGCGTTGGGTTGGTTTGGAATGGGATGGGATGTGTTGGGTTAGTCTGGGATGAAATAGGTTGGGATGCGTTGGGTTGGCTTAGAATGGAATGGAATGCGCTGGGTTGGTTTGGAATGAGATGGCATGTGTTGGGTTGATTTGGAATGTGATGGCATGTGTTGGGTTGACTTGGAATGGGATGGGATGTATAGGGTTGATTTGGAATGGGATGGCATGTGTTGGGTTGATTTGGAATGGGATGGCATGTGTTGGGTTGATTTGGAATGGGATGGGATGTGTTGGGTTGATTTGGAATGGGATGTGATGTGTAGGGTTGACTTGGAATGGGATGGGATGTGTAGGGTTGACTTGGAATGGGATGGGATGTGTAGGGTTGATTTCGAATGTGATGGCATGTGTTCGGTTGATTTGGAATGGGATGGGATGTGTAGGGTTGATTTCGAATGTGATGGCATGTGTTGGGTTGATTTGGAATGGGATGGGATGTGTAGGGTTGATTTGGAATGGGATGGGATGTGTAGGGTTGATTTGGAATGGGATAGTATGTGTTGGGTTGGCTTGGAATGGGATGGGATGTGTAGGGTTGATTTCGAATGTGATGGCATGTGTTGGGTTGATTTGGAATGGGATGGGATGTGTAGGGTTGATTTGGAATGGGATAGTATGTGTTGGGTTGGCTTGGAATGGGATGGGATGTGTAGGGTTGATTTGGAATGGGATGGCATGTGTTGGGTTGATTTGGAATGGGATGGCATGTGTTGGGTCAGGTTGTGTTGGGCTGGAATTTGTCACTTGTCTTTATGTATATATTAGTCCAGGTTTTAATCTTTGCTGTGCTTCAGATTCTGCTTGCCACAGCGTTTGGCCGTCTGCTTCCCTGCAGGTCTTCCGTAACTCTTCCATCTCTTTCCTCCTTTCTGTATGTGTGTATGTGCATCTATGCTGTGTGTGTATGTGCGGTTATGTGTATGTGCGGCTGATGTGGTTCAGAGCGAGCTGCAGGTCTGTGTTGCCGCCTGATCGTTCCGTGCCATAAAGGGATGCCGCGCCTGACTGACCTGTCGGTCAAAACCAAAGACGTGTGGGAGATCCCACGGGAGTCGCTGCAGCTTATAAAGCGGCTGGGCAACGGCCAGTTTGGGGAGGTCTGGATGGGTATGGCCACTCCCACCTCGCCTAACAACAACCCCTTAACAGTGCCTGCATGTAGCAGCCGTGGCTAGCAAAGGCCATAAGGAGAGACGGAAGGGAGCGTCCTTCAAAAGGGTGGAGTCTAAAACGCAGAGATGTAGACTGAAAGGTTGCTGAACTGGAGTAGCTGAAGGCAGAAAACTTAGAGTTTAGTGTTCAAGGAGTAGTTTAGGACCCCCAAAAACTGGTGGTGACCTCAGGAGACCTTTGGAGGAAACTTTTACTTTTTTAAGGTGGATTGAAGGCACGAGAAGTCAAGGGTTCCACCCCAGATTATAAGACCACAAAAACATTGTGTAACATTTGGATGGGATCTGGGGTCTTTTCCATTTTTCAAGCAGTCAGAAATCCCCCCAGGCCTTCTTGTAGCTACACTGCTGACTGGAGTACATACACTACTTTTTAGCTAAATTAGCCTTGCAGCTCCAGGGCTACAACTAAACTTACTTAACTTCTGTCCAACTATTCCTTCCTGATTCTGGTGAGCTGTATGGTGAAGGAGGGACTCTCCTGCCTGGTGCCTTTTCCGTCTCTCTCTCTGCATGCCCCCCCCACCTCGTGTTGGTGGTAGTTAACCCCCCCTCCCCTCTTCCCTCCCTGTAGTGCATGCAGACGGTTTGTGCTATCATTTAACGGGCGTGTGCGTGACCTACGTACCAGACACAGTGGGTCTTACCCACGATGCCTGGGAAATCGCCCGCGAGTCTCTGCATCTGGAGGTCAAGCTGGGGGCGGGATGTTTTGCTGATGTCTGGTGTGGTAAGATAAAATTAATCAATTAACTTGTTAATGAATTAACCCTTAGAAGTCTGGAGTTTAATATTAAAACAATTACATAGTTAATTATATAGCTGCATAATAATTACATTTCCATTCTGTTGTTTCGACAGTTTTACACTCTTACAAACAAACTTCAAATGTTCTTCAAGGGTTCTTTAGTAAAGACAGTGGTACTATATAGAACCATGAACTCTCAAAGAACCACTTACAAGCTTAACTGGTTCTCTGCATGGTGAAAGTGTTCTTCAGATTGATGGAGAATGTGCTGTATATGATTCTTTATAGCACCAAATGGGTTCCTATTATTATAATGTCAAGCTTAATGATAGAACCCTTTTTGGTGCTATATAGAACCATTTTCAAAAAGGTTCTATATAGAATCATATTCAGCACATTCTCCATTAATCTGAAGAATCATTTTACCATGTAAAGAACCATTTAATCATGAAATTAGTTCTTTGAGCGTTCATGGTTCTGTGTAGTACCACTGTATTTACTGAAGAACTCTTAAAGAACCGTCCTTTTTAAGAGTGTAGTGTTCAAATCAAGTGATGATAAAATATCTCTTCTGTGTTCGGACCCTGATGTGGTCTGGATTGAAAGTTTATAACCTGCAGTTTCCTCAGTTCCTCTGCTCGTTTCAGTGAACTGAGGGTTAAGGCTTCTAAGGGTTAATCACTCACCACGGTTCCTCTGAATCTGAGCAGGTGATGTGATAATAAAGGGTGATCTGATCATTGATTCATAATTCAGTTCATAAATAATCACTTTTTGAAACGTGACAAAGTCACAAACCCGACAGAAGGAAAACGATGAATAATGGAAGTGTCTGGAATGTTAATCTGCTGCCGAAAGCCAGACTGAGAATAAATACCCTGTTTATTCAGACCCTGAAGAATCTGAGTTCCACCCTTTATTAAGCATGTTACCCAGAATTCTTTGCTTTTCTGAAAAAGTTTTGTATGAGGTAAGTGCTGAGAGAGAGAGAGTGAAGAAAGTAATGTAATCTCTTTCTCTCTCTATCTCTCCCTCTCTTTCTCTCTCTCTCTCCCTCTCTTTCTCTCTCTCTCTCTCTCTTTCTCTCTCTCTCTCTCCCTCTCTTTCTCTCTCTCTCTCCCTCTCTTTCTCTCTCTCTCTCTCTCTTTCTCTCTCTCTCTCTCCCTCTCTTTCTCTCTCTCTCTCTCTCTTTCTCTCTCTCTCTCTCTCTCTCTCCCTCTCTTTCTCTCTCTCTCTCTCTCTCTCTCTCTCTCCGTTCCCATAGTTATGTGTTTGTGTGGTTAGTGCTGCAGTTTGTCTGTCTGTATAACCTCACAGTCAGAATCAGAATCAAACTGAAAATCAGAATCATTAGTCAAAATCAGACTGAAAATCAAAATCTGAATCAGACTGAGAATCAGAATCATTAGTCAAAATCAGACTGGAAATCAAAATCTGAATCAGACTGAGAATCAGAATCATTAGTCAAAATCAGACTGAAAATCAAAATCTGAATCAGACTGAGAATCAGAATCATTAGTCAAAATCAGACTGAAAATCAAAATCTGAATCAGACTGAGAATCAGAATCATTAGTCAAAATCAAACTGGAAATCTAAATCTGAATCAGACTGAGAATCACAATCAGACTGAGAATCAGAATAATCAGAATCAAACTGAAAATCAGAATCATTAGAGTCAAAATTAGACTGAAAATTAGAATGAGAATCAGAATAAGAGTCAAAATCAGACTGAGAATCAGAATCAGATTGGGAATCAGAATCGGAGTCAAAATCAGACTGAGAATCAGAGTCAGAATCAGACAGAATCAGAATCAGAGTCAAAACTAGACTGATGATCAGATTTATTGTCAGTTCTAATTGAGAATTAGAATCAGGTTCAGACTGAATCAAAATTAGAGAATCAGAATCAGACTGAAATTCAGAATCAGACTGAGAATCCGAATCAGACTGAGAATCAGACTGAAAATAAGAATCGTATCAGATTTTTAATCATACTCAGTCTGAGAATCAGATATTGTGCTATCATCGCCATAAGAACTGAAGCAGCTCAGTGTGAAGTCAGGCAGGCTGCAGTGTTCAGTGTGTCAGACTGACTCTGTTAAGTTTCCTTTAGTCTGAAGTTCAAACAGCCACAGTTAAACACTCCCTCAGTTTAGATGATCTGATCTGATCTGACTCTGCAGGACGTGGCTGTTTGAAATTCAGCAGCGGTTTATATTTATTTGTTTGTTTGTTTGTTTGTTTATTCATTTCCCGGCTGTGGTTCTGACCTCAGGCACGTGGAACGGCACCACTAAAGTGGCGGTGAAGACGCTGAAGCCGGGCACCATGTCCCCCGAGTCTTTCCTGGAAGAAGCTCAGATCATGAAGAAGCTCCGCCACGATAAACTGGTGCAGCTTTACGCCGTCGTCTCCGAGGAGCCCATCTACATCGTCACTGAATTCATGAGCAAAGGTCAGAGGTCACCGCCGTGACTAAAAGAGCTTTGAGGCTGATAGGCAGTTGAAGACGAGTCGTTTGAAATGTTGGGCTTTTTCCTCCTTAGCTGGCTGATCTGGAAGGAAGCCAGATAGCTAATGTTACTACTAGCTGCCAAGCATCATGTCTGTATTGATTAGCATCCACATCAGTGGTCAGAATTTCTTTACTGCAGAGGGGGGATAGGCCCTTTTCACAACAAACAAAAGTACATAAATGGCCCACATGTCAAACTTTATGTTTCTGTATCTGTGTCTGTATCTTTGTGATGATCCAGCTCAGAAATCCAGTTCAAACACTTCCTGAATCTGTAGAGTCGCCCTTTCCATTCCATCTTATCACGAGATCATACGAGACTCACATCCGGAGTTATGAGCCTATGAAGAGGGGCTGAGATACACGCCATCTGCCTCTCACCGTGTGGAACTGGTGGATTGGTGTGTCCGTCTACATTCTGTGTGAAACTGACCGATGGACACTCAGGAAATCACTAAGCACTGACCATCACGCCGGAAACCCTTCATTCTTCATTCAGTCCACATTGGAGACTCATGTGAAACGGCGTGCAGAGAGTTTACAGCTGCTGAAGCTGCTGCAGCGGGTTTGGAAAGTAGTGATGAAGATAACGGAGCATTTAGATATGAAACATATGAGGATCATGATATATGAAGAGACTTTAGAGGAGAGTTTAAGATGAGATGAATAAGTTGAGAGAATGATCTCAGACCCCAGAGGAGTAAGGAAGAAATACCGGCGTTCGTGTCTTCAGCTCACCATGGAGTGTCACTTCATTTTTGTCACAAGTCCAGAATTAATCATGTAAGAGTTCCTGCACAGCTATCAGAGTCCGATCGCGTCAGCTAACGTCTAGAGAGCGATAAAACGATGGACAGGTGAAAATTACTATAAACAAAGCTAAATTAGCCGTATTAGCTTGAGATGTTAAGGCAACGTGCTAGCTGAAAAACTAGTTGGTAAAAAGGTAAACAGGCACACACACCAGTAGGGGGCAGTGCTGCATTGCCTTTATCTGTAACGTTGTTGTTGTTGTTGTTTTAGCGTAACCCTCAGCGAGTTCTTCCAGCAGAAGTAGCGTATAAAGGCCTGATCCTAATGTAGGACGTATCTGTGTGACGCTGTAGGGAACCTGAGAGGTTCCGGTTTTTCTCCAGACTGTTTCGTATCACGCTGCGCTATGTAAACACCTGCCGCTCTGTGTGTGCAGGAAGTCTGCTGGATTTCCTGAAGGACGGAGAAGGACGAGCGCTGAAGCTGCCCAACCTCGTCGACATGGCCGCTCAGGTATCCCAGCATGCACGGCGCTCCAATTTATCAGCCCACCTGAAGAGTTGACACCGTGCTGATGGTGATGATGTGTGTGTTCAGGTGGCAGGTGGTATGGCCTACATCGAGAGGATGAACTACATCCACAGAGATCTGCGCTCCGCTAACATCCTGGTGGGAGATAATCTGGCGTGCAAGATCGCTGACTTTGGTCTGGCCAGACTCATCGAGGACAACGAGTACACGGCCAGACAAGGTCAGAGAGACACACCTGCGCTCATACACCTGAGTTACCCCATGGGTTAAAACACCTGAGTCAGTATACCTGAGTTAATATACCTGGGCTAACACAACTGAGCTAAGACACACAGACTAAAACACCCAGGCTAACACACTTGAGTTAACACACCTGTTTTACACATGGGTTAAAACACCTGAACCAGTGCACCTGTGTTTATACATCTAGCACAACTGAGCTAACACACCTAGGCTAATATACCTGGGCTAATACACAAGTTAACACAGATGATCTACCTCATTTGAGGTAATTCAACCGGTTAAACAGTTGGATTAGAGCACCTGAGTTACTTCATCTGGACTGATACACCTGGACTAAAACACCTGAGCTAACACACTTGAGTTAGCACACCTGAGTTAATGCACTGGTCTTAACACATGAGTTAAAACACCTGAGTCAGTATAAAGAGTTAATATATTTGGGCTAACTCACCTGGACTAACACACCAAATACACCTGGACTGATGCACCAGGGCCAGCTCACCTGGACTAATAGACCAAACACACCTTCACTAATATACCTGAGCTGATATACTTGGGCTCATACACCTGAATTAATACACCTGGTCTACCACACCTAAGTTAATGCAGCAGGTTAAAAGAGGTACACCTGGACTGATACTCTTGAGCTAGTGCACTTGGTTTAGTATACCTGGACTAATATACCTGGGCTAATATGCCTAATACACCTGGACACAGACACACTCCCTAACGTCCAACATGCTGACCGCTCGACTTTCTCTGTGCTACAGGAGCGAAGTTTCCCATTAAGTGGACGGCCCCAGAGGCTGCGCTCTACGGGAGATTCACCATTAAATCAGACGTCTGGTCATTCGGCATCCTCCTCACGGAACTGGTGACCAAAGGCCGAGTGCCGTATCCAGGTGAGCTCCTTACACACGCATACTTTACCTTTAATCACACATTAATAATTATTTAAATCAGTTAATACTAAAGTTGTGTGAAACTAAACATGTTACTGCAGAACATCTCCTGTGAGTGCAGTGAATGGCTCTGTAGGGGGCAGTAGAGGGATGACGTGAAGGGCAGCCAGTAGGTGGACCGTGAACTTAGCTCCACCCATTCAGTCTACAGCAGTTTAGCCCCACCCATTCAGCCTACAGCAGTTTAGCCCCGCCCATTCAGCCTACAGCAGTTTAGCCCCACCCATTAAGCCTACAGCAGTTTAGCCCCACCCATTCAGCCTACAGCAGTTTAGCCCCGCCCATTCAGTCTAAGTTTAGTTTCCGATCTTAAAGACATGTTTGTGTTCGTCCTGCTGTGTTTGTGTTTAGGGATGAATAACCGGGAGGTTCTGGAGCAGGTGGAGCGCGGTTACCGTATGCAGTGTCCGGCCGACTGCCCCATCTCTCTGCATGAGCTGATGGTTCTGTGCTGGAAGAAAGATCCGGAAGACCGGCCCACCTTCGAGTACCTGCAGGCTTTTCTGGAGGATTATTTCACCGCCACGGAGCCGCAGTACCAGCCCGGAGACAACCTTTAACTTCCCCCTGCTCTCACCCACGCCGGGGAAACCCCTTTAGCGCCCCCTACTGTCTGGAAGCGATAGCGCAGCTTCAGGAAGTAACAAACTGTCCCCAACGAATGAGGAGTGGAAGCTGCCGGTGGCTTAGGCCGAGGCTAAAGTAGAAAATTTAGCCAAATCTGATGGAGGGGAGGTACAGGAGGGGATTGTGGGTAATGTAGGAAATGGAAGAGGTGGGAAGGAAGATGTGGTGCCTTCAGATGGTCCTCGTAAACTCGTAAAAAATAAGTGGTAAACATGGTAGCTGTGACGCATCTATGTATTCTCTGTTTTCTCTGTTACCACGGCAACACAAGTAGGAAGTGGGCCAAGCTAATATATAGCAGATACATTGATGATTTCAAAAGCAGCAATTTAGGACAGAACAGGTGCAGTTAGTTCTGACTGGTAAGCAGGTTCACCAGCTTCAGCTGTTCTAGCATCGCTAGCTAGCTAAGATAGCGTTGTAGCCTTTGCCGCTAGCTACTGTAGCATGGCTGAAGTTGAAATTAAACCCCACATATAACGTAAATATTTGAGGGGAATTTAATGAATTGTTTTGTAGTTGGTGATGTGATCGGTCCATACCAGCGCGTGCGCTTTCTGTCCGTGTGTGGGATTACGAGTTGCCGAAATGCTACGCTTGTTGGGGGGTTTTACGAGTTCACAAGAACCATCGAAACGCTCCGCTTGTTGGGGTTGAGTTACGATGCAGCGAAGCGGCTGCAGGGAGTGTAAATATAAACGGCCAGTCTGCTCGATCTGCTCTCTACATGTGTTTATTTGGGTTCTGTTGTGTTTCTGTTTCTGTTCTGCCGATTGTGTTGCGCTAACAGGTTAGCCTTAGCGATTACTAATGAATCAGGAGGATCCTGTGGAGGATGAAGTGCATCTGTGGTGAAGCTCTTCTCACTGTGCCAGTTATAAACGTGGTTTTTCTGTTTTGTTTTTTGGCTTTTATTTCTTTGTATTTTGTTGTTAATGTTCTCTTTGAAAGAATAGTTTGGCAAAAAAATTAAATTTACAAAAACGTAGTCGATTAGCCAGGAACTTTTTGGATGAAAGTATGTTAGCGTAGTTAAACAGTAGCAGACACCTTTTGTTTTAGTGTATGTTTATGGATAACAGGGTCAGAAACCACATAATCAAGTCTGTTAGAGGTACTGAACACCTCCACACACCGTGAGGAGAGTGTGCAGTTAGCAACATTTGTTATCTCCATTGGCTTCATAGCTCCAGCGCTAAAACAAAGAAGCACCAAACCTGTCTGGGCAGATCGGCTACATTTTTGTGGGAGAATTAGATTTTCTGCCAAACTATGAATTTAAAACAATAGAGTTTTCCTTAATTTTAAAATCATAATTTTAAAAATAATAATATATGTTGCGTTTTTTGTCTTCAGCTAAATGTATGAGAAAACTTTCAAACATATCCTCTACACTGTTGAAGTGGGAAACCTTTGGGCTTTCTCCAACTGTGGATCCAGGACACGGGGAGAGATTCCTGGAACCGGACGTTTATTCCAGATGAAGGACGGATGTTTTGCGCCCTCATTTCTAGCGATGTTACTTTACCCCCCCTCCTTTCTCAGGTGTTACGACGATCAGACCCTCATAGAAAAACATGGACGACTCTCCACACCTAAAAGTCTTCTCTCTCCTACACGTAACGGGGTGGACGTTACGTCTCACATTTTCTTAGTGTTTTTTTTTTTCATTTTTTTATTCTGTGTTCTTTAGGATTTTGTTATATGTATAATATTTAACCTTAAGATCGATTTATTACTGTTTGGAGGGTGAGGACAGTGTGACGGGGCCATTTCTCCTCGTTCCCTTTCACAGATCCAGTTAAAGGTTTCTACAAGCCTGATATAATGGATGTTGTATCCAATGTGATCTAAAAGCTTAAGCTTAAACACTTAAAAGTCAATAAGTCAATGAATACATTTCCGAAACAGAAATAACTGTGTTAAATAGTAAAATAAGAACATTCTTGACAAGCAGATGTATTCAAACTCTTAACTGGAACTATAGGTCATATAGGAGCCTATATTGACATATAAGAGTGTATAGGAGCATGTAGGAGCCTGTAAGAGCCTATAGGAAACTGTATGTGCACATAAGGAGCCTTTAGGAGCATACAGAACTTCACAGGAGCCTATAGGAGTGTACAGGAGCCTATAGGAGCGCATGTTAGCCTACAGGACCGCATAGGATTCTCTAGGAGCGTATATGACCTTTTAGGGGAACATAGGAGAATATAGGAGTATACAGGAGTATATAGAAGAGTATAAGAGTGCATATGAGAGTACAGGAGCATATAGGAGCTTATAGGACCTTACAGGAGCGTATAGGAGTATATAGGAGCGTATAGGAGTATATAGGAGCGTATAGGACCTTACAGGAGCGTATAGGACCTTACAGGAGCCTATCAGAGCTTGTAGGAGTGTATAGGAGAGTACAGGAGCGTATAGGAGCTTGTAGGAGCGTATAGGAGAGTACAGGAGCGTATAGGAGCTTGTAGGAGTGTATAGGAGAGTACAGGAGCGTATAGGAGCTTGTAGGAGTGTATAGGAGAGTACAGGAGCGTACAGGAGCTGGTGATGAAGGATGTTCATGTCGCTGAGGTTTCTGTGTTTGCTTTAACAGTAACAGTACTGTATTAGGAATCCACTCTTCTGTTTTCTATTTCAGTTTTTAACATGTTTGTTAACACATTGATTTGTCATTTGGAAATAAAGTACAGTATTTTACACTCTTGCAGTCTCGCTTATCTAAACTTGACCTAAACTGAGTGGATATTGCTCTGATATGTGTAAAGAGGATCTGTGTCTATTAATGTCTCTTTCCTTAAAATGCATAAATGAATTATCTTTAAATCTTTAAAAAACATTTATAGCACTTTATACACAAACATGACTGGAGGAACCGATCGTACTAAAATGGATAACATACACAATAAACAGAGCACACAGCTTTACATTCAGAAAATAATAAAAATAAACACACTGTTGAATATCATTAGAACGGATTCAGTTATATCTAACAAACTGAATAAATTATGTTTTATATAAATACATATATATATAGAGAGAGAGAGAGAGAGAGAGAGAGAGAGAGAGAGAGAGAGAGAGAGAGAGATAGATAGATTTGGATTGCTGTGTAAGTGACTTGGACTTCAAGGTATGTAACTTGGACCTGAGTGTAAGTGACTTGGACTTAAAGGTATGTAACTTGGACCTGAGTGTAAGTGACTTGGACTTATATAATCTCTGTGTTTTGGGAATTTTTTTCTTGATTTAATTTAAAACTTGGTGAAGGCCCCAACCACTGCTCGTTCTCTCTGCTCCTCCTGCTCCCTGACTCCTCCACGTTCTTCTGGAGAAGCAGAGGAGAAGGAGCAGTTTCTGGATGCAGAGTTCTGATCCTCTGAGATGCTTCTGTTGTCCAGCAGAGGGAGCCACTGTGCTGTGTGGAGTCTCTTGAGCGCTGTAAAGTGGTATTCTGTGAGTTTCAGCAGCTCCTCTACTCTGAGGGAGAAACTTGGGCTGTTTTATTTCCCGCCGTTGTCAGAGAGCCTGCTTTGAGTTTTCAGTAAATCAATATTACATAATAGCTGTTTACCAGATCAATAAAGCGACATCATTTCCTGTCATTTCTGAGGCTCTTCTGTCCATCTGCTCTATCGGTCATGCGTGTGCAGTGGGCAGTGCTGCAGGTGAGTCTTACCTGCCGTGTCGTCCAGTCACTCGGCTTCATCCATCAAAGTGAGTACACACATATATTTATATATGTATATATATATATATATATATATATATATATATATACACACACACATATATATACACATATACAGTTACATATTAGTACAGATTTATGATTTTTAATGTACTTATTCATTTATTTATTTGTTTATTTTATTATGCCAACAGAGGATACTGTTTGATCTCAGCTAATGTTTCCATAATAAAGACACAATAATGTAGTTTGGTGATATAGTTTGTATATATTTTTAGTTTTTTCAGTCTGTATCTTTTGCTCTGTTTGGCGTTATTAGCTGTAATTGTGTTCTAAGACTTATTTAGGGCCATTTTTCTAATCAGACACTGATTAGATTCAAACTATCATGCAGTTAAAAACTGAGAGCTCCTGCTGTTCAGATCCTGTTTCAGTAAGAAGTTCAGACCCTGCATTAAAAAGCTTTACAGACACGGTTGATTATAGAGACTCAGATCTCTCTACAGTGGTGCTGATAGGAACCAGGGGTCGCCATGACTACAACACAGATATAGACATTTTATTTACTATCCAGAACCACCAGTGAACCTACACGAGTCTTCTGAGTTTATATGGAATGTTGATGATGGAAAATAGTGGAAAATCTGAAATAATAAGTTTTCTTTGGGGACTATTTTGCCTCACAGCGCCCTGCATGTATCCCTCCACCATGAATGGAGTTTAAGTTCTCTAAACTATCATAAAACAGTGTCTCAGTCATCAGGCAGTGAATTCATAACCAATTCATGTAGGAACTTTCTGTGAGGGAGCTTTTAGAGGGGGACGTCTGGTTCCTATCACCACCACTGTGAACAGCTCTGACTGTAATCGTTTCCAGTCAAATGTGTGAAATGTGCTGAAGTGCAGTGGAAGAGATTCACACTTAAAACAGGTGGCAGTTTTATCACCGTTAAACAAGTTTTATTTTATAGAGTCAGTAAAGAGGATCGTGCGTTAAATGACCTGAGGACGAGGGAGTTTTTGGCTTTATTTGATTTAAACTGTATCTCTCTCTGTCTCTCTCTCTCTGTCTCTCTCTCTCTCTTTCTCTCTCTCTCTCTCTCTCTCTCTCTCTCTCTCTCTCTCTGTCTCTCTCTCTCTCTCTCTCTCTCTCTGTCTCTCACTCTTTGCAGTGCTCTGCTGCTGTAATGGTTTTATTGCAGCATTAGCGCTGGACGCTGTGGGTGTCTGTTGACTCAGAGGAGCCGGAGATGGACGGAACCATCATCTTCATCACCTTCCAGAAGGTGTATTACCCTCTGCTCTGCATTCTGGGTATTCCAGGTGAGTCCAGGTGCTGCCCTGAGGTACTTCCTGGAAGGTTGTGTATACCAGCTGGGAACCAGGGCCTTCTGGATCTTCAGAGAAGGTCTAATGATTTCAGTGAACATGAACATCACGCTGGCTGTATTTAAACACTGAAATGATTGTAGTAACACTCTGTGGTGTCTGAGCAGATTCAGCTCAGCTGCTCTCCCATTGGTCAGAGTTTAACTACCGACATAATTAGGAAGTGAACCAATCACGCTCTGATTTACAATGGGTGGGACCAACATCACTCTAGTCCTTCTGGAGGTTCTAGATAACTGACTGTGAATATGAGTCGTAGTCTAAGCAGTGTTCCGGTTAGTTGTTAGGAGTGTTAAACAGTGGCAGCAGCTCTGTGCAGAACTCTGTACTGAAAGAGTCTCTGTAACACTGATACACACGAGATCAGATACACGATAATGTCTGATACAAGATTCAGATAAAACACACACGGCATTAACTTTACAAGTTTCAAATGTGCATGTTTATTCTAGAACCGGCCCAAAAGGTTCCTGGGAATCGCTGTTCACTCGCTGTTCACAGCACTGCTGTGTCTGATCCACTCGACCAGCACAACACACACTAACACACCACCACCACGTCAGTGTTACTGCAGTGCTGAGAATGATCCACCACCCAAATAGTACCTGCTCTGTGAGGGTCCATGGGGGTCCTGACCACTGAAGAACAGGGTAAAAGGGGGCTAACAAAGTATCAGAGAAACAGATGGACTACAGTCTGTAACTGTAGAACTACAAAGTGCACCTATATAGTAAGTGGAGCTGATAAAATGGACAATGAGCGTAGAAACAAGGAGGTGGTCAGAATGTTATGGCTGATCGGTGTATATATACATACATGCATACTTAAGTATATTTATATATATACCTCCTTTCTTTTTTCTTTTTATATATTTCTTTTTTGTTTTTCATGTTTTATAACAGTGGGCTGTGGCGGTACTGCTAAGAGTCCATCAACCATCAGTTATTCTTCACCACAAAAATACATTACAATACAGGCATTTAAGCTAAAGTAGTTTTAAATATGACAAATATATATTTTTAATATTCTTGATTATTTGCAAAAATAAAATCATATTTAGATATCATTGCTGTCCTCAGAAGAACATCCCCAAAATGTTAACTTTACAGGAGTGGACAAAAACGTTCTTCACTTTCAAAGTAGGTTAATGTAGAGAGATTTAATTCCAAGCAATTTTGGAGGATTTATTATGAAATGTTCACCCAATGTACAGTAACAGCTGCTAAACCCAAAGTATGAGAACACAGAGAAACCAAGCATAAACTGGAAGGAAGAAAATATGGCAGTGAATACGTTTGAGCATGCTCAGCTGTGCTGAGACACTGTTACAGAAAAACAAATGTCACAGCGCCCTCATGTGTCAGTTATGCTGTAACACAGCAGCTTCATCTCCATCCTGCGTTCTCCTCTTCCAGCAAACCTCTTCACCTTCTACATGATCTGCTTCCGCGCGTGCGGCATGTCGGACTCGGCCCGGATCTACCTGAGTTGCCTGGCGCTGGCGGACACCTGTTATCTGGTGTGGGTCATCCTGCTGGACCTGTGCCTGACCTTCCTGCAGGTCCAGCCCTTCTGGCACTCCTCCCCGTGGTGCGGGATCATGAACTTCCTGCAGTTCGGCACCTTCTACTGCTCCGCCTGGGTGGTGGTGGCCTTCACCATCGAACGCTTCCTGGTGCTGAGAGTGACGGTGAGCCGCCAGCGCCCCCTGCAAGCCAGACACGCCCTGTTCACCTGCACCACCATCGTCCTGCTGTCACACCTGGCCTCCGTACCTGCCAGCTGGATCAACGTGGTGGTCCAGGTGCAGCACTACACCACGGCACCTTTCACACATTGCACTTCTGTGGGTTTTTAGGTTGTTTACAGTTTTGGCAGTAATTTTACGTCAAGTAAGAAAGATAAAGTATATATAAGCATGTACAGCCGTGTGACCCCAGACATCCCATCATGCTTTTTAATGCACAGCTACTGTTTATCTGCTGAATTTAACATATGATTAAATTAAATTCGGGCTGTGCAAAAGTTTTTTATGTTTTATGTTTTATACTTTCCATATATATTCCATTATATATGTATATATAATTTACAGTTATTACTTAAATATTTTAAAGAAAAATAAGTACTTTTTAATTATGTATTAAATTGACTGTAATAATAATACATATAAAATATGACCCTACTATATTACTTTTTTCCAACATTATTCACACTTTTTGTGTTTTTATATTTTATACATATTTATAAATATTTCATATTTTTATATTTATTGATTACATTCATTAATTCAAATGTTTTCTTATTGTAGTTGTTGGTCATTGTGGTTGTTCTTATATAATAATCTTAATATATAATATAACACAAAATAAATGATTTACATCTCATTATTGTTATTATTATGGAAAATTTAGCTGTAATTAGGATCCTGACCTTTGCCCTCTGGTGCAGGTGAACAAGACTCTGGACGGTGAGGCGGTCAGTGTTCCTCGGTGCCTGTACCGCGAGGCTGTGTACTCCACGGTGGTGGTGTGGATCACGTCCTTCCTGTCCAGTGGCGTTCCCATCATGCTGGTCCTCCTCTTCAACTCTCTGATCGCGCACCACCTGCTGTGCTCCAGTCGCCTCTTCACCAAAGAGGAGCGCCGCACCATCCGCGGGGCCAGGACACGGGGGTCCGTCCGCCGGACCCTCCTGCTGTTGGGGACTGTCTCGGTGGCGTTCGTGGTGCTCACTCTGCCACGCTTCGTCACCTACTGCATCCTGCGCACCACCTACAACCACAAGGACTTCAACCGGGACGACTACGCCATCCCCATCAATGTGGTCAGCGACGTTGCCAACATGCTGCACAACCTGAACTCCAGCACCAACTTCCTGCTGTACTGCATGGTCAGCCGGCGCTTCCGGCAGGAGCTGCTCAACACGCTGACCTGCCGGGCCAAAGCCAGGGAGCTGGGCTCCTTCTTCACCCACACCACCATGAAGGTGTTCTCAGTGGCCGAACACAAATACGCACCCGGCCGAGACCCCGTTTCCGTAATGCTGACCAAGCTCAGATACCTCCACGACTCGCCCCCCCACGACCCCCCACCGGCAGCAGTGGTCAGCAGAACCTCAGACTTTTCCAGCACATTTTAGCCCTGAAATGAAAATTCCTGCCCGAAAACAAAAGCCAACACACACTTGGATGAAATTATAAATGTTTTTGAATAAATATAAACATGAACACCAGAGATGGGTCGAGTAGCCGTTATCAATACACAAGTGAATTGATCCTTAGGTAAAGTAGTGACTGCAGTAAAAGACCCCAATTACACCTGGTCACTTCCTGTGTCCAGTTTCTGGATTTTAGCCTCATGTATTTACTCTTGGTAGTCAAATGTGTCTCCCGTTAGTCGGACTGTGGGACGGAATATGCAAATCAGCTCATTACGCAGCAACCAATTATCAACTGTTTATTAGTGGTCTACAGTTTTTGTACAGTCACTATTAAGCATTTAGTTTCATCCCCAGCCATGTGTGTCCTCCACGATTATCTTCTCTGCAGACACAGATCACAACTTCAGGGTTCTGGTTGTACTGGGAGGAGTCCTGGTTGTACTAGGAGGAGTTCTGGCTGTACAGGGAGGAGTTCTGGTTGTACTAGGAGGAGTTCTGGTTGTACTGGGAGGCGTTCTGGTTGTACTAGGAGGAGTTTTGATTGTACTAGGAGGAGTTCTGGTTGTACAGGGAGGAGTTCTGGTTGTACTAGGAGGAGTTCTGGTTGTACTGGGAGGCATTCTGGTTGTACTGGGAGGCGTTCTGGTTGTACAGGGAGGAGTTTTGGTTGTACTAGGAGGAGTTCTGGTTGTACAGGGAGGAGTTCTGGTTGTACTAGGAGGAGTTCTGGTTGTACAGGGAGGAGTTCTGGTTGTACAGGGAGGAGTTCTGGTTGTACTGGGAGGAGTTCTGGTTGTACTAGGAGGAGTTCTGGTTGTACTAGGAGGAGTTCTGGTTGTACTGGGAGGAGTTCTGGTTGTACTAGGAGGAGTTCTGGTTGTACTGGGAGGAGTTTTGGTTGTACTAGGAGGAGTTCTGCTTGTACAGGGAGGAGTTCTGGTTGTACTGGGAGGGGTTTTGGTTGTACTGGGAGGGGTTTTAGTTGGACTTGGAGGAGTTTTGGTTGTACTGGGAGCAGTTTGGGTTGTACTGGAAGGGGTTTAGGTTGTACTGGGAGCAGTTTTGGTTGTACTGGGAGGGGTTTAGGTTGTACTGGGAGCAGTTTGCGTTGTACTGGGAGGAGTTTTGGTTGTACTGGGAGGGGTTTTGGTTGTACTGGGAGCAGTTTGGGTTGTACTGGGAGCAGTTTGAGTTGTACTGGGAGGGGTTTTGGTTGTACTGGGAGCAGTTTGGGTTGTACTGGGAGGAGTTTTGGTTGTACTGGGAGGGGTTTTGGTTGTACTGGGAGTAGTTTGGGTTGTACTGGGAGGGGTTTTGGTTGTACTGGGAGCAGTTTGGGTTGTACTGGGAGGGGTTTTGGTTGTACTGGGAGCAGTTTTGGTTGTACTGGGAGCAGTTTGGGTTGTACTGGGAGCAGTTTGGGTTGTACTGGGAGGGGTTTTGGTTGTACTGGGAGCAGTATGGGTTGTACTGGGAGGGGTTTAGGTTGTACTGGGAGCAGTTTGCGTTGTACTGGGAGGAGTTTTGGTTGTACTGGGAGGGGTTTTGGTTGTACTGGGAACAGTTTGGGTTGTACTGGGAGCAGTTTGAGTTGTACTGGGAGGGGTTTTGGTTGTACTGGGAGCAGTTTGGGTTGTACTGGGAGGAGTTTTGGTTGTACTGGGAGGGGTTTTGGTTGTACTGGGAGCAGTTTTGGTTGTACTGGGAGTAGTTTGGGTTGTACTGGGAGGGGTTTTGGTTGTACTGGGAGCAGTTTGGGTTGTACTGGGAGGGGTTTTGGTTGTACTGGGAGCAGTTTGGGTTGTACTGGGAGGGGTTTTGGTTGTACTGGGAGCAGTTTGGGTTGTTTAAAACGTGGGTGGGTTTGGCCTCCGAATGTAATCCTGATACTCAAGACGTATGAAGTGACCATGTGTAAACGGGGTCAGAGTGTCAGGTGATCAGCTCAAAAAATGTAAAGAACTGCAGTGGAACTTCTTAGAATATCCAGCCTCTCTCAGCACAGGAACCGAAGACTGTTTGGCTCCATTCTTCTGTTTTTGTGATTCTTTTGGTCTAAAATAAATAATTATATAATAAATATAATAAAATCCTGAAGCTCCAAAGATGCTCCAGATGTGACCAAACACAAAGCATACAGATGTTGTTACCAACAACAAAATACAACAAAAAGGAAATGGTAACTAAATATGACTGTAACTGTGTAAAAGTAGCTCTCTTTACTCACTAACTTCCTGCAGTAGAAGTGAAAGAATTATGATTTGCAGACACCGGACAGGACAGATCCATCAGTACTTTAATTAGTGATGTAAATACCCACCTCTGATAAAAACTACAACGCTGGTAACGAACCATTCCATCCCATAATATCCACTCTTCGCTCACAGGTCAGAGAAACTGCTCCGCTCCGTAGGATCCATTGTTTTGATATTTATTTCAGGTAATGAATGTATGAAGACACTTTACAAACTGCCGCTAACGCAGCGTCACTGTACAGCTGAACGCGCTCGGAGGAGAACACTAACTACCAGATCTGTTATAACAGATCTAACAGATGCCTGCGCTGACCATTAATAATTTATATTTTTAATGGGGCTCTTGGCTCTGCCCAGTGCAGAGACCACCCCGAGCCTGCAGTAGAGAAGTTCTTGGCCTTCTTGATGATTCACATGAACAGAGACGATTACTATGCTGTGGAAAGTTCCTCAAAGAAACTGTGAGATGGTTCCACACGGCCTATGTTTACTGATGACCGGCGCAACAAACAATGACCATCAGCATTACTTCTCAAGGCTTTGATCACTCAGCAGGTAAAAGTGGCCCGAATCTGCTCTGTGTCCTCATGTGTGACACAGGTGTGTGTCTGTGTGTCAGTGTGACCAGATAAACACGCTGGGTCTGACATTTCCAGCTCAGATTTGAGACGCTTTCAAACGTGGAACTGAAATCTGATGCGTATCCGATCTGCGGTGATGCGACTGAATTCAAGCAACTTTTACATCAATCCAGCTCGACATTCGTCATCATTTTGCGCTGCTGAGACCTCAAACATCTGGGCTGACGTTTCTGCACAAACTAAATTGGAAGACGCTCCAAACCGCGCCGCGTTCAGATGGATTTAAAAAGAAATGTCCAAACGCAGCTGCAGGAGGACGAGGCTGACAAGATAACAGTCTGAAAGCAAAGTCCAAAGAGAGCAACAACACGAACCAAAGAAGTGGGTGTGGCTGAATAACACGCCCTTTTTACAGCAAGCTCGTGGTCATTCTGGGTGACGAGTCCAGCTGTTTATCAGCTCCTGAGAAGCTGGAGGAGATGAAGCTGATCCTCCGGGAGTGTCTGATACTGTTCACTCCATTCTGACTGTTTATCTCTGGACGAGAAGCTTCGTTCTCCTGTGCGTGAGGGTCAGTTTAGGAGCTGATCTGATCAGACTGAGATCAGACATAGCTCATATTTAAAAGACAGTCTGAACAGCTTGACAAAACATCAGATCTGGGCCACTTTTACCTGCTGAGTGAACGGAGTTTAGAGAGTGACAGTTGAAGATCTGCTAAATCTGTTAAACGTTTTCTGTTTTGGCTGAAAACCCAAAGTGTTTATTCCGTATTTGATAGATCCACCAGCCGGACGGTAATCATTTTCTGACCATCACAATCGAAGAGGGCTCCCGCTCCCACAACACGTTCAGATGAGCGCTGTTAGATGTTTGTTGATACATAATTTTATGTCTTTATCTGAATTAAAACACGATCTGTGGCATTTTTCACACTAAACCCGGCTTTTGAATTAATGTGACTGAGAGTCGCTTTTCAGGAGCCGTTTTATCATGAACTGTTCCCTCAGTGTTCAGGTCAGCTTTTCTAACGGGGCAAAAATAAAGATCCTTTTATGTGACAGGAGCGATAAGGGTGTGTGTGTGTGTGTATCTGTCAGTGTGTGTGTGTGTGTGTGTGTGTATCTGTCAGTGTGTGTGTGTGTGTGTGTGTGTGTGTATCTGTCAGTGTGTGTGTATCTGTCAGTGTGTGTGTGTATCTGTCAGTGTGTGTGAATCTGTCAGTGTGTGTGTGTGTGTGTGTGTGTATCTGTCAGTGTGTGTGTGTATCTGTCAGTGTGTGTGAATCTGTCAGTGTGTGTGTGTGTGTGTGTGTATCTGTCAGTGTGTGTGAATCTGTCAGTGTGTGTGTGTATCTGTGAGTGTGTGTGTATCTGTCAGTGAGTGTGTATCTGTCAGTGTGTGTGTATATCTGTCAGTGTGTGTGTGTGTGTGTGTGTGTGTGTATCTGTCAGTGTGTGTGTGTGTGTGTATCTGTCAGTGTGTGTGTGTGTGTGTATCTGTCAGTGTGTGTGTGTGTGTATCTGTCAGTGTGACACGCAGTTTCAGCTTTGATCCGAAGCTGTTTTGCTGTGTTTGGTCGGCGCTGTGTTAAACTGTGTGTAGCTGTTTCCGGGACCAGGGCTGCTCTCGCCCTCTGGGGCCCTAAGCAGGATGTTTTGGGGGCCCTTCTAGCTGCCTGATCAACTGCAGTGTTTCTGCGATTACTGCTGCTGTTTCAGAGCTTAATGAACTGTCATGAAGTCACAATTACAGAGCTCTGCTCAGGACTTTTAATTTGAAATAATGGATACAGGAAGTGGAGACATGTGACAACACCCATCTCAGTCTCAGAGGAGCTCAGAGGAGAGAGAGAGAGAGAGAGAGAGAGAGAGATTTACATTAGATAAATGTAATGTTATTCTCTATAGATGTCAAATTATTATTATTATTATTATTATTATTATTATTATTATTACATTGTGAAAATGGGTCCAGCTAATCTAATATTAACATTAGCTTACTCAGTGAATCATAATGGCGGTGAGGTTAGTTCAATAAACATCAATGCTAATAATAATAACTGCCATATTATGAAAGTTTTGGAATGTAACAGATTACAGATTATAGTTACCTTGTTAAAAATGTAATAATTAATGAAACTATTTTAATTACTTCATCAAAGTAATGCAACTTATTACGTTTGATTACTTTTGATTTTATGCACACAGCTAAATGAACGTGACAAAAAGATGCAAAGCAACAGAACAAATGTTATACTTTAAGCTTTAAAGCATATAATTATAACAAATATATGTATAAATTGTTGTAAATTAATATGTTAAAAGTTTGTTTTGCAGTGGTGTCACTTTGTTTCACATCTTACTTGGTATTTCCTAATTTTAGCACCCTTTGATTTGCACCCCCAGGAAGTTTAGTGAACTGTGTTAGCGGGGTGTGTGTGTGTTTTGGGGGTTGGACTGTGGGCCTGTGTTCACACGCATAATGTCTAATCACAGCCTGAGTATGTAAACATAGATCAACAGAGAAAGTGTTTAACCGCTGTCATACACCGAGTTCACCACATCTGTGTTTGTACAGTACAGTACAGTACTGACTCAGAGGCTGTTAGGGGCCCCCTGGTGGCCATGGGGCCCTAAGCACCTTCTTATTTCACTTATTATTTAGAGCTGGTGTGGTGTCTGATCCCCGTCCTCATTTCATTTCCCATGGTTTCTGGTCGTGGTTTTCGCAGCGTTATTGGATAAATCATACACATCACAGCTGTCAATCAACAACTCTGGGCGGAACATCAAAAGGTACAGGTAGAGATGTGTGTGTCTGACTTTTCATGAACGTCAGTAAATTTGTAAACAAACTCAACGAAGCCAAACACACAGCTGAATTGAATCAGTGAAGCTGTGCAGTTAACTGTAACGGCCTGCGAAGCATGCTAACCTGCTAATACTGTCCGACGGTGCTTGGGAAGTGAAATCAGGACAGCGCCACCCTCTGTTTGCCCACACATCCATGAATACTGAACTAAAGCCGGCTCTCTTTATCAGATCTCTTGAACGGTCTTAATCCAATCTAAGAACCCTGCTGAAAAAAGATTGGAGACCACAAGCTTCCTGTAGGACACCTTGAGATCCCATTCGGAAATCACCTGGAATCAGAACGCATTAGAGTCCTTTATGCTGTGACATCAGCCCGTCAGGAAAACACTAAACACCATCAGTGACTGTCGGACGCTGCCAGGACCCAGCAGTAATAACAGTTTGTCAGAGTTGCTGCTTATATGAACACAATAATAATCCAGTCAGTGCTGAAATCTGATAGTGATCGTGTTGTTGGTGTCACCAGACTTATAGAGTGACATCATATGAGACAAAGTAAAGGCCTGGTTTCCCCCCCTGCCTCGGGCCCTGGGCGGCCCGGTTGTGCCCTGGAATGTGGCCATGTGGGTTGTATCCCAGTGATCTGTTCCGTCTCGCTGAGCCGGCGGCGCTGTAATGTTTACGCAGCTCAGTGAA